GAATGAAAAGTAGGTTTAATGTTAGTAAATGTAACATAAGGGGGAAAGAATATATATATATATATATATATATATGCGTGTGTTGTTCTTTCCCCTTTGTTACATTTACCAAATCAAATAATGATCTCCTGCATTCACTGTGATCTAGGCTATAAAAATGTTTTCTTCTTGGTCTGCATAGCACTATCATATAATCTGAATAATTTGATTGTGCATATAAATGTCACATAGCTGCAATACAGTTGGAAATTTTGTGTTCTGAACATGATTTTGACAATTCATAACGAGTTCAGATGTTTCATTTTAAAATTACAGTCTACAAAAACAAAAACAAAAAAATAATACACAGCATACAGACTCCCTCCTACTATTCACAAAATCAGTTCTATTAAATCACACAGTTAATCTTTAATTGCCATGTTGAACATTTTTCCATAAGTGAGATTTAAATGCCAATATGAAAATTGTTAACCTTTATTTTTAGAGTTCTGGGAATTTAAACTCCTGAACTATGGAGCTGCTGGCCAATATTTAACTAGTGATGCATGATCAATAAAGGTTAAATGGTCAAATGCCTTTAACTGAATATTCTAAAAGCTACCACTTGTAATAAGAAGATATCTTAACTTAAAAAGTAGATGATGCATGATAGAACTATATAAGAAATCTCTAAATTACCTAAAATTTAAGGTTCCCACATTTGTGAAGATGTCAGTCATAATCTTCTGGGTTTATGGTATGTGGTGTTGTAGGTAGTTAAAAACATTTTGGAGGAATGCACCACCTTCATTTGCAGGGTGGATTGGTAACCACTTACAAGGCCACATAGTGTCACAACCTAGAACACCATGCTCAACAGATATTTAAATTGTCTTACTTATTATCTGGACATCAATGTCATCATGGCTGAAACCAAGGGCACTGAGCTCAAACACAGCAGTGGTTCCTGCTGCCACTAACCGGACTGCATCGCCCAGCACTGCCATCTTGGGGCCCGTCATCACACCCACCTGCCACGGGCTACCTGTAATAAAAATCCATGGGTCACTGAATATGAAGGTTTAAAGTAACTTCTTGGACATAATTTCAATACTGTGTCATTTATGTATTTTAATTCTTGTGCAATTTGCAAGCAATGTGAAACAAGTATAACAATATATGATTCACAAAAGTGTCACCCTTTATTCCTTTACCACAGTTTACATGAAACAAGGCACCAAGAAATATCTACATTCAAATTTAAAATTTAGTCTGCCTTAGAAAAAAGGGAAATGATGCATCTATATTTACCATCATAAAAATGATTTTTATTGACACAACACATTATCAAAAAATGCAAAAGAAAACATTTTTGAGCAGACTCTAGTTCAAACTGATCCTAAACACAAAGCACGTATGTATATTCTATAGTATTAATTTAGTTGTAAAATGCCAAAATTGTGCATGAGCAAATAATTTGCTCTGACCTAAAAGCAAAATTATACAGAATTCTCATTAGAAAAATGTGTATAAATAACACTGAAAACTTTTTGGGTATGTAATTTCTAGACTGACACTTTTTAAAGGTTGAAGCAAACTCCTACATTTCCCCCATTGCCATGAATAAATAACAAAGAGAAAATTGAAAAGTTCAGATTTGGTAATGTAAACTTCTAATATCAACAGTCATCGCTGGCAGATCAGGACATAGATCCCGAGAGAAAAAATGGTTAATACTTCATCACCTCATGGATCAATATAAGAATTCATTGAAATAAAATATCTGTGCAAGACTGGAAAGTATTTTTAAATACAAACAAAATGTGCACTATTCTTCCATCATATATGACAGCAAATTCCCCAGTGCCACTTCTCTAGATTTTCCAGGGCAGTTCTGGTATTCTATTAATATTTTTGGGGAATAGTCAAATTTCCTAGATGTCACACTGTAATTAACAATAAATTAAATACAATCAGGTCATTGACAGCCTGTCCATTGAATTAAATGGCAGTATATAAATCAATAACAGGACTATTTTTATTTCCTAGTGAACAGTGCAGTACAGGCTTAATATTCAAACACTTTCTTCATATTAAGGGTACACATCTCATGTCTTCTTCATGACTTCTACACCATGGTTTCTTATTAGTTTTTTCAGTACCATGTGCCCAATTCCCAGTGGATACCATTAAGAAAACATGACAATATATTCATCCTTCTGCATAAAAATCCTCAAGCCTTTCGTGTTAATCCACATTTCATTATTAATGTTCGAATAGTATTTGGATTTGCGTGACTATAAATTTGCCCTGAACTCATTTAGTTCAAAATCAGGTTACCCTAATCACATAATTACATAATGTGAAATGACTGCTACTACATTAACAAAATTAAATCTGCTTCAAATTGAAAATATGGTATCTTCAGCTTATAAGGAAACTCATACTGTAATTGTACGTCACTGCAGTCTGTGCCATTTTTGGAATGCCTGTACATTGGTTACACCCCCGTATGAGACTACCATACTAACGGACCTAAGTGACGTACTCACATATTGCGACCTATATATATATATATATATATATATATACACACACACACACACACACATATTAATTGTGACCATACGGAACGGGATCAAGTTTTAGAATATCCAAACAGTGACATTCCACCGTACATACAGTATTAACAATTACCTCCTCTACTAATACAACAGAAACCGGAACAAAATACCGCCTACCTCTTTATAACTTCGGCTGCGCACAAAATGCTGATAAATATTTCACCTGACAGAACCCAAGAATACCATGCGCTTCCAACATCACCAACACACACCTAGTCACAAGAATGAAACCCCACGACAGCAGTGATTCCAGTAGTCTCAGAATATGTTCGTGACGTCAGGCAAGGCATTGTAGCCAGACACTTCACATTCCAGCAACTTCAAGCACAACTAACAACTAGAAACTACAAAATGTCCAAGACGTTTGAGAGATACGGCAACCGCGGTGTGTTGGTGATCGAGGCCACAGGTAGGTAGAGAGAGAAGCACCAGGTACAGTCACATTAGAAAGTTTCAGTCAGCACAATGGACTACAGCATTGAAAGTACCACCGTCTGCTTGGAAAAACGATGAGGATACACTAAAACTGTTGGATATATATTGTTGATAAGGTGAGTATTCCGTACAAAAAAAATTAGTTCCGTTACTAATCGAAACTTCTTCGCGTGAGTCAAGAAGAAAAGAGGTAGAAAAGAATAAAGAAACCGGAACAAAACAGCCAATCTTTGGAACGAACATGCTTTCCTCTTCCCAGTAGTCTCCAGATCACTATATGTAAGGCCCTAATCATGCGAAACAAGTTTAGCGATGCCATGTTCTGTTCTGATGTTCATGTCTCGCCAGTCGTCCCCGAGGTACTTCTTCCTGGCAACGCGAAAGAAATACCTTGTCTGCCACAAAGTAGGACATCGTGATACATAACAGTTTGAAAAATAATTTGTGTTTCTATTTCGGCGGTTCGTTTTCTATGTATGCGAAGATACTTCAAGATCTGTCCTCAAATTATATAAACAATTAGAACTTCACGACACGGCTTTCAGAGACTGCCAGTGTACAGAATTTGGACACTGTTGAAGTTAAAAACGTAAATTTGTATAACAAAAATAATTAAAAAATTAATTTGCAGTGAAACAATCAGTGTTTGTTAAATCTGTTGCATTGTGTTCAGCATTATCCGGGTATTGGGTGAGCAGAAATAATAACAGTTCTTTTGCTTTTAAAAATAACAAATCTCACTAATATACCGTTCCAGAAATGTGATTGTTGCAGTCGACCTTGTAATAAGGGGGTTAGTAGGCTAATGTGAACATCACTCCAGACAGTTTCTTCAGCTTGTGAGATCAATGACCGGAAAAGTGCGTTACGGACAATCCTCATGTCAACCGTACACCACATATCTCTTGTGTCTGAATCACAAAAGATTTGCAGTTGTAGTGAAAGTTTTTATAGAACTTTGTGCTCAAAGAACGTAACAATATTCAAATGATTTAATGAGTCTTATAAATCACCATTACAATTTACTTGCACATGTGATGGGCAGTATTTACTCTGAAGAAGGCCATAACATTAGTACCGATAATTTTAAACATAAACGGGGTGCAATCCATACACCTATGCCACTCTGTTTTGGTTGACATTTTCTGTTTCACTAATGTAATTTTATAAAAAAGTATTACAATACATACTTTACACTACTCTTTATTCTATACTAGTGACTCCAGGTTTCATATTTAAAATACTGCACTCACCAGTAACTTTTAATTATACTTTATAACAGTACAAGGTAACTAAACAGGTGGTGAGTTTGAAGATTGCTGTCTTCTGGGCTGTTGCGCCATGTAGTCTGGTAGATGCTAGCAACGTTTTGTTGCTTCCATCATCAGGGTGATGATGGAGGCAGCAAGGACCTCTGAAACGTCGGTAAACATCTACCAGACTACATTACGCAACAACCCAGAAGACAGCAATCTTCAAGGTAACTAAACAATGGCACTTGCAGGATCAGACACACTAGAATCACCAAATTCTTTCCATAAACAAATGAGTTCCCCCTGGGTTCTAACAGGAAATAAGGTAGACCTATTCATCTTACCATGCATTACTTACACTGTTTCATCTTCTTATATGCAAGTGAAAATACTCAAAACTGAACAAAAACAAACAACAATAACCCTGTTAAATTCAGAGGGTAGAACTTGCTATATTCTTCTGATGTATACACCCTATTTATTTTATGAAGAAATTTTTTAAGAAAATCCTAAGCCCCTATCACAGAGCATAATCTATAGGAATGTATTGAAAGATTCTTTTGAATATTCCATTAACAGTTAATGTTATATGAAATCTGACAATGTTTTAGCCAAGACAGCTATGAGAAATAATATGGAGTTCCTTGACAGTTTCAGATACATCGTTAGTTATTTAATACAGTAATAAGGAACATATTTTGTTGGGTCCTTCCTTAGCTTGTCCTTCATAATCAAAATATGATTTATTGTTTTATGGTTATTTATTTTACATGTTTATACCCAGTGATGAAGAATAACAAGCTAGATGTGAATGGGATATGTGTTGTTTTCATACACGTTCATGGGTCTGTACTTAAAGAATGGTATTTCATAAAAATTGCCATTTTAGAAAAATATTGACATGTGTCGTTTTCTTTCCCATACAAATCGGTAGACCCTTACGCAAAAATATACCATAAATGCTTGCAAGCATCTTGTGTTTAAGAGACCGTGTTGCAATATATACGAAAACTTGCAACTGGGCACAATCCTGGGCCATTTTTGCCTAGATCGTATCCTTTCAAACTGTTTCCCTTTAGCTATTTTTATGGTTCTGGTTTCCATACTGAATTCTGTAAGTAGCCATACCTTATCTCCATGCTTCCTGCCCAGTTCATTGCAGCCTTCTAGATTTTAGTATTCTAACAATCTTGCTGATCAAAACAGCTGTCATACTTAGACCAATACAGTAGTGAGATTGGATAACTTACTGTTATTGAAATCAATACATGAGATAGACATGTGTTCAACATTCCTTTATAACACGACAAGACAGTGAATAGGAAATAATCCCATTCCAGAAGTATAATTGGCACACAAATTTTTGGACCATGGCCATAGAGAAAAGTGGTATTTTAAATGTATCACAGCAGAATGCAGTGTCTAGTCTTAAGTGAAAACTGCTTTCAAACTCTGTGATAAAGAGCTGATGATTGTATCATGTATGATTATATGTGAACACATTGCACTTTTTGAAAGTTGCTAATTAAAGAACCACAAAAATCTGGACTTGAACCTTTCACCAAGTAAATTTCTTATGACATCATTTAGCAGATGACATTTTATAAACAAATTTTAAATACTGAAACTGAGTGAAGAAAAGTATTACTACCATTTTTCTTTTAAGCAATATGTAAGATTGTTTCACCATTATGTGCCTCAAATCTTAAGAAGTTCAAAAATCCATTTGCACACATTAAATAAGCATATTATTTTGTGTAATAGTACAGACAGAGAATAATTACTTTGGCAGTGGTCATGCTTGACCATTATATGTCAATTGTACATGCAGTGAAAGGTGTGAAAGATAAACAATAATGGAGACACTGTGTAGTAACACAACTGATGAAACAACACTGTCTCTGTGCTAGTCCTTGTGTCATATAAGGCACTGCTAGCTATCATCATGTTTTTAGATATAAGAGAGGACTGAATGGTAGCAAGCATTTCCACTTTAATATGTTCTAAATGTTGTTGTGAAAATATCCTACAAATTCTGAACTTACCAGGCACAGTTTCCCCATTGAATTTCATTTCCACTAGATGGCTTAGAGCTTCATGTGGAACAAATGAAGCAAGAAACCTTTGGTTGCCAAGATTATGTACAAAACTAGTCACATGACCTCCATTGACCAAGATTTCTAAATTTCCAGAACCAGCACCAGAACCATCAACTGTCAAAACAGACAAATAATAAAGGTGAAAAAGAGATTTATACTAATAACAACATAAAAATGAAACCCTGCTCTCATGTAGCAAATACTTCTTCTATTAAAAAACAGCTATCTTCCTTCAAAAACTTACTTTCAAATTCTACAGGCTGTCCCAGGACACCATTGGGGATGTGTCCAACTTGGATTGCTTTAGCATTGTAAGCATGAGTCCTGAAATTTCAATATAAATTTGTGCACTGAATAGTCTACAATAAATTCAAGTAGTGAAATACACAAAATGGAGTTTTAAAAATTCATAAAATATGTGTTAAAACATTGTACAAGTAGTTTCTTCCATACATGTATTTAAGAGATATTGGAAATTCTTTCTTAAATCTAGGAGAGCAGTAAATTGTTGTCTGCAAAATTGGATTAAAAGTGTATAAAAAATGTTGCCTCCCTGATTGAACCTACCAGCACTCCAGCTCTTAGAATAAATTTTAACTATCAGATGAAGATCCTTTTTATTTTTCTTGGTACAGAAGATGCAGTTGCCACTTGCTTAAGCATCATACCATTAGAATACATGGGGAAGTGATGGAGAAGTTCCACATAAGCTTACTCTCAGCAGTAGACAAAGGTGAGTGGGTAGTTTCAGGCTCTGCCAATTTTACCCCCAGGGAAAGACCCCTCATTACCCATTGGATAAAAGGCTTACTAAAAACCATATCAGGTCTGGATCAGATGACAGAAAGGAAAATACCTGCTTCTGCCAAGAATCAAACCCTGTTCAGCCAGTTACCCTGATTGAGTTAGATGGCTCATATGTTTGGTCAAACATTTCATTTTCTATAACAGTGCACCAATCAGTAAAGGGATCAACTGTGTCTTATTTTAGGGTGTAATATTTGCTGGAGTGCCTAGAGAGAAGCCAAATATAAAGAGTAAGCAGTCATATGATTCTAACTACTCGCATGCAGAATAATATTACTGATAACATCTGGTACTGCATAGTTCCTAATAGATCTCATTTCACAGATTTTAATTTTATAAGAGCACTTTTTTAATGATATTAGTATGGAGTGGGAGAATTTTCTTACCTGAAAGGTGTACCAATAACCTTCTGATCTCTGACTCTAATGTCAATTATATGTTCACCAATCTCAGTAGCTGTGAAATTAGCTGAAACATGATCTCTGTTCTGGAAGAGTTTCACAGGCAAACTTCTATGTGATGGAGCTGAAAACAGAGGTTCAAAATACAGGTTAAAGTAGGTATTATGATAAAAATCTGTTTGAGTTTCATTTTAATTGTATATTTCTATGAGAGAAGGGAAGAGATCACCTAGAAGAAGTAGGTATAGATGGGAGATTAATATTAAAATGGATGCAAAAGAAATAAGGTGTGAGTGTGCATGTGTGTGTGTGTGTGTGGACTGGATTCAACTGGTTTAGGACAGGGGCAAATGGAGTACTCCTGTGAACATGATAACAAACGTTTGGATTCCACGAAAGGTAGGGAATTTCTTTATCAGCTGAGCAACTACTGGGTTCTTGAAAAATAACTCTAACTACTGTTTCATTGCTTGGCAACTTTTCAAGGCATCAAGTGATCACTATGACACTACAGAGTGATCAATAATAGAAAATTGGTCAACAGGAATATATAATCACGACAATTTCATTGAGTACAATTTTCAAATACTTCTGATACTTCTCTTTTTGTTCCATGGAAATATACAGTTGCAAGGTAATAGAACAATGACCAATGAGAATACGTGTTCATGAAACTGTTATAATAAACTATCAATATGATTTCAGTGTAGTTTATGAATACTTTTGCTTACTTTCGTAATGGACAACAGGAATATGTATTCATAAGACTGTCATAATAAATAAGAAATTTTATTACATCAGTTCATTTTATTTTCATAATACCAGGGTAAGCAAAAACGTTTTGCTGTTATCTGCGGAAACATCACACACTCTTCCCTTGTCAAATTGTTAATGTTAATACCCATAAATTCAAAGAAACTGAAGATTTTATGAGACTGTTCTAGTTTTGATTATGTACTCTGTAGATTTTTCTAGTCTCCAGTTCAGGATTGCATGGAAACTCAGAAATTGCATCAATAAGTCTGAACTGGTATGTTCACATTATTTTTCTCACTATACACACCTGTCACACTGACTGTAAGCTCATTTAAGTCAGCAGTGTTTGGCAGATCAATGTTGATGGAGGCCTGGCGATTGACAGGCACCAGCTTAAGTGCATCTCCTGTTACTGTTGCAGGCACAGATCCTGCCCCATTTCCAGTTCGACTCTCTGTTGGCGAGTTTCTTGATCCTGTTGGGGAATCAGTATCAAGTAATGACGATAAAAGTAGGAAGGAGTGGAAATTTTACTCTATTGTTTACATATACACTTTTTATTATGTTTGATAAGGTGATTCAAAATTGTCCTCTATAAAAATTTTGTTCTTGATTTGCAGATCCTTTTATCTGACAGTTTTATAAGTCTAGGTTCTTCATCTCTTATTTGACAAAGATGTCAGTGCATTTGTCATTAATTTATGGGAAAGTGTGTCCAGAACAAACTTCTTGTACTTTTTGGACTACCTTTGCTTAGAATTTTTAACCTAACTTTCTATCAAAGTATCAGGTAAGATAACCATTTGACACAAGTCTCTTGTGTTGTGACAGTAAGCAGTAATATGTTAGTTGAGTGGCAACTTAGTTCTCTGTCAAACCAAATTTTATATAAAAAGCAAAATCATAATCTTTTAATCCAGGCAACTGGTTATCTAACAGACTGTTTTACCTGAATGTACACCCAACCCTTGACACATTTTGCATCTTTTTATTCACACAGCAGATAGCATTTAAAGACAACGCTCCCTGAAGAGAGGAAATTAAAGAACTATGATATCACCTTGAAATTACAGTCAACAAGGGAACATATTTTAAAAACTAGTTCAAGAAAATATAACTAAGTTTTGCATGTACCTATGATGAGTAGGCCTCCATTGTTCCGCTGATTAATAACATTACTATACTGGTGACTCCCACCTGGTGCTGGGGAGCTACCTCTGAACCAAGAGTGGGTTGTATCTACCTCATTCATGGATGTAGTAGTGGTATTTGTGTTAAGTTGATGCACTGTTGACTGGTCATGTGACAATTCTGAAACCAAGCAGTCTGCTATATAAACTCTTTCATACACTGTTGTCCATTTCTCCCTCTGATCCTTTCAGTCATTTTCCCGGTTGCCAGATAGGCATAAACAGTTTTATATTGCAAAGGCAAACACTATACAGTGCCATATCAACAAATAACAGAAAATTAGTCATTGGGAATGTATGAGAGTGGTTCAATAGTCGCACAATCTTATGATTCCATTATAATTGTATTACAAGACATCAGTCAGTTGCATTATAATTGTAAGTGCAACTGTTCAATTGAGTGACATGTGGCAGTCTAAAAAAATATGATTTATTACATTCCACATCCTTCCAAGCAAGATCTGCATACTGTGATTCAGCTTTTGGCTACAAAATTGAAGAGAACAAGCATGAAACAAGAAAGTTTCAGTGACCTGCACTTTAAAAATTCAAGGCTCAAGTATCTGCCAAAAATGTTGTGTTGGCTGTTTTCTTTGGTCACCAAGGACTCTGCTGCTGAAGTGAAATAAGCTGTTCATGACTTTTTCTAGCAGTAGCCTTTGGATTTGGTGATTCAGTGGCATGCAGTGACTTCATTTGAGTGAGCTCAATAGATTCATGTAATCAGCTCTGGACAGGATTTTATTGACCCACCCTCATGTATTCATAAAACTTATAATAAATATTAATTTCATTATTATAGTGCAGTTTATTTTAAGAGAAAACTAGGCAAAGAACAGCTGCTTTTGTTAGTATGTCTTATTATAGCATTCATTATTCAGTTATGGTTTATCATTATGGAACTCTTCTATTAGGACAGTTATTAAAAATGTTAAATTTGTCTTGAAACTCATATACTAAACTCGTTATTTGTCTACTCACTTTTTGCTGTAAGGTTTGCCAAAGACTCCAGGCTCCCATAAGACAGAAGTGACTTAGTTTTGGCAATTGCGTCCCAGGAATCAGCTCTCAGATTATTAGAGCTTCCTAGCATTGCAGAAACTAGAATAAAACAAAGTATCAGCTTTCTGTATGAGCATTTGTTAAAAGTATTATTTATGGAACTTTTGTAGATATCATCAACCATTACCGCTAATAATATTTATAAAAAGCAAAAATAAATAAAATTCTATGTAATTTGTTATATGCAATAACAATTAAGTAAAGTTTTAATTTTATTTTAAGCAAAGAAGTATCATGTTAAAACAGTTTATCATTGCTAGTAATGCAATGAGTGTAGTGGGATACAAGTAAGTTTAGGTGAGGTGCCCAACATTCCTGTTGGTTTGGAAATAATTTGTGTTATCTTCAAGGCTTAATTATGGATTTTACCATTACATCACTATCTCTTAGTTATCTAATAGTGCATACATTTATTACTAAGCACAACTGCTTTTTCTTGAGTGAATTTCAGTATTAGATTAAGTTTCTGTTTGAGTGATGCATGCATCCCTCCAAATGTTCATCTGTAAGACATGTCCTAGTTCTTGATTTGACATTCTTTATTGAACTGAACACATTCTCACAACTGTAGGTACAGCCAAATACTGACATCATTGACAAGACATGTTTTTACAATATCAGGCAAATGTATTACACCATACACAATAAAACAAAAATATGCTCTGGCCACGCAAGTCACTTCAGCAGGTCACTGGTTGAGAACCTGTGTAATACACAATTCTGATATATTGATTCTGACATGATCCATGTTCTTTTAGACAAATTTGTTTTGTGAAATTATTGATTTTAAAAATGTTGCACATTTTAAAGACAAGCTGAATATGCATGATATATTTAAGCTTTCATTGTTACATTCTGTAAATTTATGAAAATATATTAATACCAATGAAGCATAAAGTGATGAAGTCTTCTTAGGCAATCAGTCATGTGAAAATGAAGTTTGTATCCATGATTTTGGAGAATGTCTCTGTCCATGAGGAAATGTGTGTGTGTGTGTGTATATGTATGTATATATATATATATATGTATGTGTGTGTGTTTGTGTATGTATGTGTGTGTGTATATATATATATATATATATATATATATATATATA